CTTAACCTAAAAGCCATAGCCATCCTAATTGTGAGTGTACCTAACAACTGACTTTCAAAGGACCTAAAGCAAAAACTCATAAAGCTGAAGGAAGGAGTAGACAAATTCAGTATAATAGAGATTTCAATACTGCTCTCATAGTAAAATATAGAACAGATAAACAGAAACTTGGTAAGAGAAGAAGACCTGAACAGCTCTATCATTCAACTGGACCCTAGTGAATTTTTATGGGATGGTTCAGCCAATAACAGCAGAATACACATCCTTTTCATGTGTACATGAGGCAGTCATCAAGATAAACCATATTCTGGGCCATAAAGCAAACCTTAATAAGTTTAAAATAATTGATATCATACAAAGTCTATGTTCTCACCATAAAGAAATTAAACTAGAAATTGGTAACAGAAAGATATTTGGAAAATCCTCAAATATTTGCAAGCTAAGCAGTATACTTCTAAATGAACCAGAGGTTAACAACAACAAAAACCCCACAGGATTAAGTTATTCCCTTTTGAAATGAAATGTTCAAGATTCATTCAATTTTGAATTGGATGAAAATAAAAACAATATATATAAATTTGTAGAATGCAGCTGAAGTAGTGCTTAGAGAGAAATTTTTAGCATCAAATACTTGTATTTGATAAGAAGAAAGGTCTCACATTAGTTGTTAAGTTTTTACCATCAGAAACTAGAAAAAAAGAGCAAATTAAGCCAAATGCAGTCAATGAAATAGAAATCAGAAAAGCAATGAAAAAAGGAATGAAATCAAAGGCTGATTCTTTGAAAAGATCAATAAAATTTATACATCTTTAACCTGACTGACCAAGCATAATGGAGAAAAGACAGATTACCAATATCAAGGTTAAAAGAGAGGAGGTTGCTATAGTCAATAAAAGGATAAGGGACTATTATGAACAACTTTATGTCCATACATTTAACAATTTAGATGAAATAGATAAATTTCTTTGTTAAAAAATAAATTTATTTATTTATTTATTTGTTTTTGGCTTCGTTGTGTCTTCATTGCTGCGCGTGGGCTTTTTCTAGTTGCGGCGAGCAGAGGCTACTCTTCATTGTGGTGCACGGGCTTCTCATTGCGGTGGCTTCTCTTATTGCGGAGCACAGGCTCTAGGAGTGTGGGCTTCAGTAGTTGTGGCACACGGGCTCAGTAGTTGTGGCTCGTGGACTCTAGAGCTCAGGCTCAATAGTTGTGGTGCATGGGCTTAGTTGCTCCATGGCATGTGGGATCTTCCTGGACCAGGGATCAAACCCGTATCCCGTGCATTGGCAGGCAGATTCTTAACCACTGCGCCACCAGGGAAGTTCGAGAAATTTCTTGAAAGATACAAATTATCAAAGCTCATTCAAGAAGAAATATATAATTAGAATAGCCCTATGTTAATTGAAGAAATTGAATCCATAGTTTAAAAACTTTTATTAAAGAGAACTCAGATAGCTTCACTGGAGAAATCTGCCAAACATTTAAGGAATAAGTAATACCAAGTTTACACAAACTTTTTCTTAAAGTAGAGGAGGAGGGAGTACTCTCAACTCATGAGGTCAGCATTGCCTCAATGTCAACAACATTACAAGAAACAAAAACTATAGATTAACGTTCCTCATGAATATCGATGTAAAAATCCTCAACAAAAAGTTGTCATTCTCAGCTGAACTTTTTTCTATTAATACTTAATCCCTGTTTGAACCCTCCTACACTGTTGGTGGGAATGTAAATTGGTGCAGTCACTATGGAGAACCGTATGGAGGTTCCTCAAAAAACTAAAAATAGAGTTGCCATATGATCCAGCAATCCCACTCCTGGGCATATATCTGGACTAAGCTATAATTCAAAAAGATACATGCACCCCTGTGTTCATAGCAGCACTGTTTGCAATAACCAATACATGGAAGCAACCTAAGTGTCCATCCACAGATGAATGGATAAAGAAGCTGTGGTACATATATACAATGAAATATTACTAAGTCCTAAAAAAGAGTGAAAAAATGCCTTTGCAGCAACATGGATGGACCTAGAGATTATCATACTAAGCAAAGTAAGTCAGAAAGAGAAAGACAAATACCATATGATATCACTCATATGTGGAATCTAAAATATGACACAGATGAACTTACCTACAAAACAGATTCACAGATGCAGAGAACAGACTTGTGGTTGCCAAGGGAGAGGGGTGGCGGGGGAGGGTTGGACTGGGATTTTGAGACTAGCAGTTGCAAACTGCTATATGTGTGTGTGTGTGTGTGTATATATATATATATATATATATATATATAAAATGCATAAACAACAAGGTCCTGTCGTATAGTACAGGGAACTATATTCAATGTCCTGTAATAAACCATAATGGAGAAGGATATGAAAAAAATACATATATGTGTATAACTGAATCATTTTGCTGTACACCAGAAACTAGCATAACATTGTAGATCAACTATACTTCAATAAAAGAATGCTTAATCCTTGTTTAAAAATGATTATTTTGATTATAGCACCAAGTAGTAAAACCTTAGCAGTCAGAGCACAACAAACCATAATTCTCATTCGCATGAATTGGAAGCCGTGACAGATCGCTGATAACTAAAGGAGACTCTAACTGGGATATTGTGAATCTCTGTAAGACATATTTCTGCCTGTAGTCTGGTGGTATATAAGCAAGAAAGTAATGCAAGCTTTATTACCTTATAAAGAATTGACTCTCTACTGATGCTCTTCCTGGATAAGCTAAATGTGCCCTTGTCCTTCAGGGTATACGTAGCCCCATGCTTGGCATCTGAGAGCTTTATTCTTATTAGAAGTGGTACTGGCTAAAAACAAAGTCTGTTCCTCTGGCATTTGAGAATTCTGAGACATTCGCTGTAGAAACTGGAGGAAGAAGTGATCTCCCCAGGGACCGGGGTTCTACTGCAGGGTGATGCAGTCCACTCTTTATTACTCATGTCCTTTGAGGCCACGCATATACTTTACCGGTCAGCTCGTGAGTCATTGGGCCTCAATGTTTAGGGTCTGTGATGAATTAGACGTTCAGTTTGGGGATGGTGGATTCCTTTGGAGTCTTCCCGGCTCCTTCTGTTCAGGAAGGTGAGGGGTTCTCTCTTAATCGAAACTCTTCGTAATTAACAAGTGACTGTGGGCTGCATGTTGTATTTACATGTGGGAGATTCCATGGTGGGCAGACAGCTAGGAGGCCTTGGGGTCAGACCCCAGCCCCCAGACTCCAACCCCACAGAATCCTGCCTCTGCCCCTTAAGCTGTGTGTATAGGTTTGAGTCTGGAGGAGCCTCGCCGCCTCAGGAGCGAGAGACCAGGGTGTCTGCAGCACAGAGAGGGAGGGGCGCCAGCGCTGCGTGACCAAGGGCTTGACAGGCCCCTTAAAGGATTTTGGATTTCCTGCTCAGTGCAGCGGGCAGCCACTGAAGGGTCTAAATGGGGACAGTGATGTCGTCAGGTGGTCATCTCCACCCAGTCTTTCTGGCCTTGGTCTGGAGGGTAGATGGGAAGAGGGAAGCGGGCAGGATGTCCGCGGGGAGGCCTTCGAGGAAACTACTGCCATTCACATGCTGAGCCTCGCCACTCTGTCATTTTAAGTGCCTCTCAGATGGGAGCCTGTTCTCTTCTCGAGCCATAGTGCAAAGCAGGCATGTCCTTCTCACAACCAGACTTCTGCTAAGTCATTTAGATCTGAGTGTTCCACGCCCTTCCACTCAAGTCCATGCCACTCACACAAGAGGAGAATGTGGCTCTGTCCATTACCGCCCCCAGGCCCCCCCCCCATAGGCTGTCATTGAAGCCCAGGGTTGCTGGCCACGCATGTGACATTGCTTTGAACTCTATTATTCTCAATATTTTGCATTCTACTCCATCATATCAGTGCTTGATTGAATGCAAAACCATTTTCCTCTAAATCTATTATTGTCTGTTCCCATTTTACGGATAAGGAGTCCAAGGCTGAGAGAGATGAAATACTTTGCTCAAGATCACATAGCTGTGGGTGGTGACACCAGGTTTGAACTGCAGGCTCTGATTGCTTAGTCTATGCTGTAAGTTCACTCTTTACTGCTGTACCCTCAGTGCCTGGCAGGCGCTCAGTAAATATGTGCCGGATGATTTACCTTGGGGCGGTCTGGCATGAAGTGTTAGGAACCCAACCCCAGGCACCTGAGCCACCTGGGTCAGGGCCAAGCTTGGGTTCTGGGAAGCTGAGTGGAATCCATGCTCCTGGGAGTATGCATACACCAGAAGAATGGGACACTCCTTCAGGGCATCGTAGTGCCACCCCACTGACCAGTGGGGAATTGTGCCTTACTCATTTGCCTCTCCTGCCTCACTATGACCTCTGGAAGGTGGGTCCTGTAGAAGTTGGTCTCGGTGTCGAGCCCCAGGGTACTGACAGGGGCTTCTCCATCTGCCTTGCTCTGGGCCAGGACCCATCCTTGAACCCGTCTCACATGAGTGAGAGCCTGGGTGCAGGCAGAGCTAAGGTTGGGTTCCTGCTGGAAGTGGGCCGTCACCAAGGGAGCTAGTCAGTCCTTAGAGCCACTCTGCTGCTCTTGGATCATTGGATCCCAGGGAAAAAGAGGCAGCTTGAAGCTTTCTGAGCCCAACTGCAGAAAGCATGGTGGTGCGGGGGCTGTGAGGCAAGGAAGGAGGTTCTGTTTTGGCTGTGTTAACTTTCCAGATATAGTTGGCTACCAAGTATAGTAGTCTGTAAACAGCTGGAAATAGAGCTCTGGAGAGAGGGAGGTGAGGACTGAGGGTGCAGATCAGGGCATCTTTCCCACAACTTGCAATCTCCTCTTCCTGTGTCCTGCAACAGCTGGACTGTCCTTTGCACCTCTGGGGGTAAGGTCGATATCCTGCATGAAATGAATTTGTTTTACTCACCTTTCCAGTGGAAATTCATTAGTTGTTCATATCCTCTCTGTGTTTTTGCCATCTGTCGAGTCAGTTCAATTAATTGTATATGTTGTATTCTTTATTTCAGAAAAACTATACAACTCCGGTGGACGAGATTTAAGAAGGGCCCTTTTCTCCCTGAAGCAGATATTTCAGGTAAAAAAAAGAAAAAAGTACTCTCAGGTTCTATTTTTGCATTGCTTGTGGAATTAGATGCAGACAAGTTTATACCTTTTACTGATTACAAAAAGAAAAGTCTCTTTAGAGTACAATGTAAATTCTGTCAAAATGTCAGTTGAGTATTTTTACCATACCAAATATTTCAAGCATAATAAGTAAAAAAAGTTATCAAATCACAATATTTTTCCATATTTACTTCAGATTAAAAAAAAAATTCCTACTACGGATGTAACTGAAGTCTTGTGTTCTGCTCAATATCAACCACTGTCTTCCTCCTCCACCCCGGGGCCCCTCTCTACTGAATGTCACATGTAGTGTTTATCACGCAAATGCACGTTTGCATACTCATGGTGCATATTCACCAACAATATGTGATATTCTTTTCTATGAACTGTATATGCGTGTTATCATGCTGTGTGTATCACGCTGCGGCTTACTTAGTGAGAGCGGGATAGGTGTGGGCGTGACCGAGTTAACTGAGTGAGTAACCATTGTACGGAGGAAGCACAAATTTGCCTTATTCATCTTCTATCGGCAGACAGTTGGGTTCGTTTCCAGGGTTCTGCTGTTACAAACCGTGCCGTTAGGGACAAGCCCCCTTGTGCACGTGTGCAAGCATCTTTGTTGGGTTCTGGCTTATCCTTCTCTCCTAAACCTTCCCTCTGCTTCTCCCCTGGGCAAGTCACAAGCTTAGCGATGAGGGCTAGGACAGGAGTGTAGGCGAACTCCAAGCTGTCACCCACAGGGAAGAGGGACAGAGAGTCAGGGGAGGAGGGTGAGGCCGCTGTGCCAAGCAGGGCAGGGTCAGCAGAAGCAGGGTGAGGCTTCGTGGAGAAGATGGAGCTTGTGTCTCCGTAGGTTCATCGTTCTTTCTGGAATGATTTTAGACTCTAGGGTGCGGTCCACATCTCTTCAGTTCCCGTCTCCTTCACATACTTAAAGGATTTTCCGTCTGTGGTAGTTCTAGCCGAGTGGCTGTCCCCGTCTTGGGTGCCTTCCTGTCTGAGGGGGATTGGCAGAAAGGCAGGCCAACAGTCCATCCCACCTGCACGTTCTTGTCCCATTTTTAAACTTGTTCAACCATGCATGCCCTCATATTTTTCCCAGAGCAGAGCCCTTCTCAGTGACAGTGTTTCTGGAGATGAGTCCTCATTTCTCATCTTCCCACAGCTACAGGCGTGACCCTGAGTCACCACTGCTGCCTCATGCCGCATGTCTCAGAAGTGCCTTGGGGTTTGGGGTTGGCCTTGATTCAGGCCGTTTCTTCTGGAAAAATTGTAACAGATGTCATGGGCACCACCTGCTGCTTGGTCCATCCTCTAGCTTCCCACCAGAGGGGCTGACCAAGTCCTTCTCATGCTGGTTCCGTGTAGCCGTCTGAGTTACGTCTGAATCTCTCAGTGTAACGTTGAGGCCCTTCTGGACCTGGCCTCTGTGGCCCACCTCCCTGTCCTTGGCTGCAGCTGTCTCCCCTGTGATTGTGTTCTGGGGGCAAGTCTCCTCTGCACCTTTGCCCCTGGACCTATTGCTTCTATCTCAGGATGCGTTGTTGCCCCACATCCACTCCCCATGTCTCTGTCTCCCATCTGGTGTCTCCTCCTGCCAGGGAGATCCTCCAGATGAGCCCTCACTGAAGTCAAGGGTTCTCCTCTATAAAGTTCTCTGTGCTCATCTCTGGAATGGAATTTAAGATACCACAGGGTGCGTGCCTGAGTCTGGTCATCCGTGAGCTCCCTGGATTCCATCACTGGGTCTTTGGGGCCTCACGCTGTGGCCAGTGCCACTGAAGCAATAGATGAATGAATTGGGTGAACTGAATACTCCTCTCACAGGTGTCTGTCTTCAGTCTTTCCTGGCTCTAATTAAGTAAATGCTTCGCTAATTACTTGCCCCAAAGCTTCACTTCTCACGTATCCATCTGTGTCTCCCTGCTTCTTAGCTGAACAAAACAGAACTTCTTCACCCTCCATTAACCTCCTCCTCTCGAACTCAGATCCCTGACTGCACTTGGGCTGGGCTCTCACCGTGCCAACAGAGGACCACACTCCTGACACTCCTCACGCCAGCTCGTGCAGCCCCTCAGCCTGCCTGCTGCTTCCGTTGTTCAGCTTTTTTTTTTTTTTTTTTCTGTACGCGGGCCTCTCACTGTTGTGGCCTCTCCCGTTGCGGAGCACAGGCTCCAGACGCGCAGGCTCAGCGGCCATGGCTCACGGGCCCATACGCTCCGTGGCACGTGGGATCTTCCCCGACCAGGGCACGAACCCGTGTCCCCTGCATCGGCAGGCGGACTCTCAACCACTGCACCACCAGGAAAGCCCCGTTGTTCAGCTTTGACTTCTTTTGAAACCTGTGTTCACCTCACTGAGCTGGTGGCAGAACCACACAGAGAAGAGTCGTTCCGAGTGGCTTTAAAACACTGCAGTTTTTGTACCCTGGGTAGGATATACTCTAAGGAGAAAGAGAACCACACACACACGAAAATCAACTGTTTATAATAATCATATTGCTGGTGGTAGTGTTGGTATTGCTCTTCTGATAATTGTGTGTGTGTGTGTGTGTTCTAATTTTGTCATTCTTAGAGTTCTTAAGGATTTGGATTCTTGGTGTGTGGAAGAAAGGGGCTAGAAAGATAGAAGGGTTAGGTTAAAAAACTCTGGATTCCTGAATTTAATTGGAAGGATCGGAATGAACCCAGGGTGTTTATTATCTTAACAAACTTGCAACAAAGCATATTTCTAGCACTAAGTTTATTGAAGAGGACTAGAAGCAATGGCGAACCCATGAGCAAAAAGCACCACTGGCACCGAGATTGCCGTTTTAAAATACAGAAAGGGACCAGAGCTCCTTGGAGAAATAGCTGACTCCAAGTCTGGCGTAGGAAACCAGAATAAAATAAATAGCAAAATAAACCTGGAACATATTATTATGCAGATAGCAAGGTAGCTATCAAATACTACTAGGATTATTGCCAAAGGGACTCGGGAGCACCTTGAAGGGTCTCCCACTGGCTGGCTGAAGATGGACAATTAAGCATCAATAAGGATGATAATTACAGTGGATTAAAACACATCAGGTTAATCTGCATTGATGAGTTCATAATAATACTAAAGAATGACAGTGAATTGGTCACCAGTGGAAGGAAGATGGTGGTGAACCAGCACGTTATTTTGAAAAATGGGTAAAATTTTAGAATCAGACATTTAGCTTAACTTTTTCCTGAATGAACTTTAGGATAATCAAAAGTTCAGTTGAGAGGAAGTTTCGCTTTCAAAAATATTCTAGCTAGCAAGTAAGAAGGAGTGATATAATGAGAGTATCAATGAGAATATCAGAATTTTGCAACCCTGAATGAAGTAATGGATCTAGGTATCAAGCATCAGGATCTGCTGACATGATGGAAGTGAGATACAATCAGATATTACATGCCTTCTCATGGAAACTTGCACTGCCGTTGAGGATGTGGTCAAGCCAACAAAATCAACTCTGGATCTGATCCTGCCTTTCTATGCAGTAACCAATTTACAAATGATCTAGGACAGAGGCACATGTTAAACCACACAGCAGGCATGTAATCAGCAAAATCCAGAATATAGACTACTCTGTAGGACAAATGATCTAGTTTCTCCAACACACAAATTTCAAGGGAAAAAAAGAGATGAATTAAAAGACATTTAAAAGTTATATCAGCTAATTGCCACATGTGACTCCTATTTGGATCCTACTACAAAATTTAAAACACTATTTTCGAGACAGTTGGAATTGGTCACTGACTGGACATTTGATAATATTAAGAAAGTATTAATTTTTTATTATGAGTACATAATTTTGAAAAGACTTTCTGTCCTTTGGAGGTACGTATTGGAATATTTATGGGTTAAATGATATGGTGTCTGGGATTTGCTTCAAATTAATATGGCAGCAGACAGGGTAGGGCGATAGATGGAGCAGGATTGATATGAGTTGATTGGCACCTGGGGTTCACTAAATTATTCTGTCTTCTTTTGTATATGTTTCAAGTTTTCCATGGTGACAAAGTTAAAAGATAAACACATGTCGGTCTTGTTTCACATCCCCTCACCATGCTTGTTCTGTTGTGTTGTCTCTCTGAATTCTCAGGGATGCTGTTTCTACCACTTATTCAGCAAACAAATATTCTTGAGCAGCCTTTGTTGGCATTATGCAGGCAAGGAAGAAGCCATTTGCTACCAAAAGTTTAATCTGTTTGGAAGACCACAGACCTGTGCACAAAACAGCTCTAACACACAGGGCAGGGCTGCTTTGGGTATTGGGTGGATTCCACAGGCTGCAGGCTGTCTGGGGCTTAGATCACCTTCTCCCACACCCACCGGGCTGCACCTCCATCATGTCTTATGTTTTCTGGATGTGGAGGTTCTTTTTGGAACTAGAGTGTAAGGATGTAAAAACAGAACCATTGGTCATTTGGATTGAGTTGAATATTCCTTGACTAATAGGCATTTTAAAAAAATGATCACAGGTTAAAATATGGCTATTATAGAGAATTCTGAAATTCAAGGATAATCTCATACCAGTTAGTGTTAACATGTTGACTTCACTCTAGTTAGAAACCAGTGTTTTAAAAATCATTTATTAATGCCTGTGTACTTCAAGATGTGTGTTCAAAATCTTCTGCGTTGCCAATTTGGAAGATATTTTCTACATTAATCATTCGTACACTTTTATTTTCTAAGTACCTTATCTACATATGTGCATAAATGTTAGTTAGGGTTCTGAATTATTTTTATAAACACTGTCCAGTGTTTTTTTCCAAGTGCCTTTTCCAGACAGTCAGCTCTCTGCTATATTAATATTAGTGATTAGCTTGAGTGGTTTCTTGAGAGCTTGTTCTCACTTTTTCACCATGAAGTCATGTGTGAATCTAGTTTTAAAGTAATAAACATTTGTTACATGCTTGGAAAAACTTTCTGACTAGACATGAGCTCATCTAAATGTTCACTTTTCACATATGCTGGTGGAAAAGAATATGGATGGAGGGAGAATTATTTTTATTTCCTTTATACATATGAGTGTAAAGTAATTTTCCAAAAACTCATGATACTGTCCCATTTTCTCTTGCTTCCAACGCCATGATTATCTTAAAGTCTGAGTTAACACAGCTGTCTTTCATTACCTTCGGGGCACAGCAGTGCTCCCCCCTCCCCCCAGTGCCCTCTGAATGTTGAGTGTGTTCTTGGTTCAAAGGGAGCATTTGCCTGGCCTGCCCCCTGCTTCCCTCTCCCCACCTCCCTGTTACCTCACGTCCTCCTTCCATATAATTGGAAAATGCCATAAAATTAAAATGAGGGGCTGATTTCAATGTGGAGATGGGAGAATTATACCAGTTTGTCTAAATTATTTTTTCTTTCTTGGAGGTAAACCATGGTTGCTGACCATTCCTATAATAATAACCTTCCATTATTCCATTAAGCTTTCTACTGTTTACATCACTGAGGTTTTTTATTTTTGCTCTGTTGTTATAATTGAAGATGAATGTATCCTAGCTGTGTTTGAGACAAGACAGTGTCCAACTGAGGAAATCTCCTGAAACAGTAGTGGAAAAATCCCTCTTATAGAGCTCCATGGAACTTGGTACTCCAGGCAAAGGACTGGATTTGGGGGCTGGCTGGACCATAGTTAGGTCATCTTGGCCAAAGTTTTGCCCCTCTTGCATCTTCATCTGTAAAGGGAATGTAGGATTAGATCAGTGGTTCTTGAACTGGCTGCCCTTTAGGATTTCCTTGGGAATTTAATAGCAGAGCCTGGGCCCCACCCCAGAAATTCGGATTAAACCCATCTGGGCAGGGACCTGCTTCCTGTCCCTTTTTTAAGTTCTGCAGATGGTCCTGATGTGAGGGAGTCAGAGGTGAGAAGGATCTGAGCACCTCTGAATCCCCTGCAGGGCTTTTTAAGCACAGGTTGCCGGGCTCCACAGTGGAGTTTCCTATCCAGTAAGTCAGGGTGGGGCTGGGTATTCTGCACTTCTAACAAGTTTCCAGGTGATGCTTAGGTGCTTGTGGGTCTGGAGACCTCTCTTGGAGAACCACCAGATTAGATGACTCCTGCGGTTCCTTCCAGGTCTTGCCTTCTGTGATCCGGTCATCAGGCTGACCGCCGTGGCTCTTCTGAGCGACAGTGTAGCTGCTGGTCCAGACACACGGCCGGTTCTGTGCTCTGCCTCCTTGCTTGTCCTGCAAGCTGCACGACTTGGGAGGTGGAGAAACTGCTCCCCTACTTTCTCAGATACCATTTGCAAGACGCTCGTAACCGTCTTTAGGGACCGTCTTTTGAAACACACGAGTTGCTTTGAATCCTTTACACGATGGTCTGTGCTGCAGCCCAGCGTTTCCTGCGTTGAAACCCAGCAGGCTTCATGTGGCTGGTCCCTTGGGACCTGTGGGGATACGGAGCCTGGTGATTTCTAAAGAATGAAAAACAGATCACTCTAAGTATTCCTGACAGTCGGGGGATTCATTTGCCTTATCTTTATTAGATTGCCCAGAAGGCAATAATTGGTCTTTGGCAAACAACGATGTGAAGACTGGCTGTAAAATTCCTCTGGCAACAGTTAAGATGCCTCATTTGAATAGAGCAGAACAATCTTCAGAGGTCGCGGTCTGGCGTCAAAGGCTTGTACATAGTTTTCACAGAACAGCCTGGATGGAGGATGGACCGGGACAGTATTTGAAGTCTTTTTTTTTTCTCTCTCTCTCTCTCTTTCCCTGTTTCCTGCCAGGATGACAAGGATTTGGTGCATGAATTTGTAGTGGCTGAAGGTCTGACGTGTTTGATCAAGGTGGGAGCTGAGGCAGATCAGAACTATCAGAACTACATTCTGAGGGGTAAGTGACGCCGGGCATGGGGCGGCCCAGCCCCTGCTGCAAGGAGGGTCTGGGATCACCTCCAGGAACTTCGATACTGAGAACTTTTTGAAAGATTTGGTTACGGAGTAAGGAGATGAAGACATCCTGTAGCAAAAGAAGACCCCTTCAGGTTTTATCGATTCCTCGTAACTAATCAGTGACTGAGTTCATTTTACTGACTTTACTTGTAGTCTCTTCCCAGTTATTTTTTTAAATTTTTTTATTTTTATTTTTTTTGTGGTACGCGGACCTCTCACTGTTGTGGCCTCTCCCGTTGCGGAGCACGGATCCGGACATGCAGGCTCAGCGGCCATGGCTCACGGGCCCAGCCGCTCCGCGGCATGTGGGATCTTCCCGGACCGGGACACGAACCCGTGTCCCCTGCATCGGCAGGCGGACTCTCAACCACTGCGCCACCAGGGAAGCCCTCTTCCCAGTTATTAAGAAAAGAATATTCTGCACACTAGGTTCTTTATAATCTCCTTTATTTGGTGAGGAAAGGTGCACACCAAGTGGGCTTGGGTAAGGCCTGCATTTGAACAGAAAGCCCCTCAAAACCGAAGAGGCCAGTTATTTCCTGGGAAAAATATGGTCACCGACTTGGCTTATCACTGGGAGTTCCTGTAGGAAGCGCACATTCCTCACCAGGTCCTCCTGTTTCTGACTTGGTAGGTCTGGGGTGGGCCCAGAATTTGCATTTTAAAGAAGGATGCTGAAAGCTACCTCCGTAATTTCATTTTTTACACAGTGGTGCGTGTGTGGTGTTTGAAGCACTGATTACCATTCCAGTTCATAAAGTTAATGCTCTTTTCAGAGTTTGAGTATTTTTGTGCACCTTCCTATAAATAATTTTATTTGATTCCGTAAAATCTGTGAATAGGCAGGGCAGGAATTATTAGGTTGGACCATATGACATAGCTGTTATCAACAGTTTTGACTTACCAAATGAAAAATTTAATATAGTTCAATATTATCTTCATTTTGCAGTTGAAAAATCTGAGTCTCAAAGAGGTTGAGTGTTTTCCTAAAAAATCACTTCCTCTAGGGTGAAGTCGAGCAAGGACCGTGGCCAGGCACTGGGGCACATCATGACTGATCAAGGTTCTGTTCCCCCTTCTGCATCTATGCCTGTAACTCTACAACTCCGTGTTCATATAAGGAAAAAGAAATACCTCCTTTTCTTTCCCTTGGATGAAGGAAAAATACACGAAACGTGTGATTTAATATCAAATGTCCTTGGTTAGAGTTGAATGAGGCAGGCAAAACGAGACAGTCTCCTGCAGTGTCCTGTTGTGTTTTACCCTGAGAAGGTTCCTTACGTTCTGAGTTGTGACCCAGCACCTCGAACTCTCTGAATCCTTCCCCATTTTCTCTGCTCCTGGAGAGCCACTGCAACAAGGGCAAAAGCAAAAGGGAAAACTGACGGCTCATTAAAAAATTTTGGGGGGGACGTATTTTTAAGTCAGTGTTAATTGTTTCTGTTCATTTTGATAAATGCCAAGTGTGTGTGTGAGAGAGGGTTCCTCAGCCTCAGTTTCTCAGCTCCACGGTGTTTGTGAGGCTGGGGAGGCACCTCCTTTTGTCTACCTTCCATCTTTCCCTGGGTGTGTGGTAGGTCCTCATTATAAGCTGTCAGCAGAGATGCTTTGTGGATGAATTTTATGATTTCTAGTCTCAGTATGATTAAAACATTTATATGGAAACTTTTATGGCACGTGTACCAAATTAACCATAAACTTTGTCCTGCTGCGTTGCCTCCGAATACAGCTGTCCTTCTGTGTCTGAAGAAATGCATATAAGCCTTGATTCTCATCCTTCCATTTCCATCCACACTGGCCCAACACCTGGAAGAGGGGACGGCACAGGAATAAGGGTGGGAGCAATTCCTCTATTTTATTTTCCATGGATGCTTATAAGTTGAACCACATGGAAAGAAATACACCTAAAATGGCCTAATTCTGAATAATGGGTCCAAATTCACAGCGTATTTTTTGCGGGGTTTAAAGTATGCATCATTTTAACTTAAAAAAAAAAGTCTTCCCCAGTGGGTGCTGGTATGAATGCACAGACCTACACACACCTGTATGGAACTAATAACCATCTACATGTTTATCTTTATTCTTCTGACCCTTACCTAGGAGTGTATATGTGCGTTTTTTTTTTTTTTTTTTTTGCAGCATGCGGGCCTCTCACCACCGTGGCCTTTCCTGCCACAGAGCACAGGCTCTGGACGCGCAGACCCAGCGGCCATGGCCCACGGGCCCAGCCGCTCCGTGGCACGTGGGATCCTCCCATATCGGGGCACGAACCCGCGTCCCCTGCAGCGGCAGGCGGACTCCCAACCACTGCGCCACCAGGGAAGCCCTATATGTGCGTTTTTATAGAGCCATCATCAGTGTGAGCATCTTGGTTCATCTGCATTCAAGTCTGTGGCGAGGAGGGTGGCTCTGCCAGCGGTGGTCAGCCCCGCCTTATCAGGAAAGCAAAATTCTCATCAGGAGCCCCCTGCAGACCTCCCACGGATTAGAACTGGGTTGCATGGCCGCCTGTAGCTGCTAGGGAGGCTGGCACAGTGGGTGTTTGGCTTCCTGGACTCCGAGGGGACGTGGCAAGAGAGAAAGGCCTGCCTTTGTGCCTGCAGGTTACTCGTGCGTGCCACATAGAGGGACTTGGGAAGGAAAAACTCAGCCCAGCGGAGAAAGCCTTCCAGTAAGCAGCCCCGTGGTGGTCTGGCTGGAGGGAGAGAGGGCCTCCCTGCCACTGAGTGCATCATCGTATAGGGGCAGGGTAAGCTCAATGGTTGTGCGAGGTCCCAAATGGTGAATTGTGTCAGTGGTACTTGGCGGTAATGAAAGATGGTGTTGACACAGATGCTTCAGCTAGGGTCTCCGCCCCAGTGTGTGCAGTGGTTTATTAATCTGCAGCGTTCTGATCTGCCCTGGAAAGGCACCAGTAGCAGTTAACGAATGCTTGAGAATCAGAACTCCCAAGCACAGCCAAGGGAGAACCCTGCCAGCCACCTGCCGCTTCTCTGTCCCTGAAGAAAATGCCACCGAGGTAAGACCCTTCCTTGCCTCTGAGTTTCCATCGCCACCACCAAGGCCTTGCCTTCTGATTTTGATTTTCCAGTGATGTCTATTTAATGGAGGCCAGACGGCTACCAGCTGTTACCTGGGAAACGAGCGGGTACTCCCTCCCTTTCAGGTTATTACAAGACGTCCTGCTTTCCATGCAGCCGAGGGGCCTTTGCACGCCCACCCCACTTCCGCTGAGTCTCAGAAGACTCGGGGTAACCAGGGCATTGTGTGCACACACGTCAGCACGTCTGGACGTATCTGACTGAAGCCCGTGCCAGGAAAGTGTACTTCTGAGGGATGTAAAGGACACATTTCTTAGGCTGTGACCTTTGTGTTTTGATACAAGGAAACTATCGGTTTTTTCCCCAGCCCACATGTTGAGTTACCCCTTCCTGACCTTGAAGGCATGTAGGCTTTTTCAGGTTGTGATCAGCTGCCGGCAGCCACCAGACATTTACAATCAAGGACAACCTTTGAATTGCCTCTTTGTCCCACCTCATTTTAACCAAATTACCTTGGATGAAGGATGGTGAGGCCTGTTGCAGATCAAGAGAGAGAAACTGGGAGGAGGTTTTTAGTTTTGTAACTCACCGTTCCCCGGGGAGAAAACATCATGCCCGCTCTGGGCCACTCGGGGGAAGCAGAGTGGAGGGCGAGGGCAGGCACCTCTGTTGTGGTTTCCACACAAGGCGGGGTGAGCAGGTTTAGGATTGGCCAGTTTGCATTATGTCAGTGGGCCCCGGGGCTCTGGCGTGTGAGAAGCCCACATGCCTGCGGGTTGGGAGAGTGGGCTTGGGCTGCTGGAGAAGGGGACTGACTGACTTCTAAGCAGAGCCTCAAAACTGGGTCCAGACCGCGTTGAAAAACTCTTTTACAAGCCGTAAGGTGGGCCAGTTGTCACAGTGCTGTGGAGGAGCATGCCCTTCGTGAAGTTTCCTCAGTTTCTATGTGACCATGTGTGAGGCCCCCGGATGCAAAGGAAACAAGAGCATTTGGAGGACCCAGTCCTTTCCACATCTGCTTTTAGGACTCGTTTAAATTATCTTCATTTTTGCACTCAGCCCTCTGTCAGCTCTTTTTTTTTTTTTTAAGGCCCAGGAATCTGTTGCTCTGTGTTGAGGATGTGTCTGCTGAGAGGTAAAGATAGGTTTTGAGTTACGGTGTAGCCTAGCGCTCTCCAAAAATGTGAGCCGGCTGCTGGGAAGAGGTCTTAAATGCACCACATGTAGAAATAATATTTATCCGACATTATTTTTGGATGGCTATAGCTAATGATCTAAAGGGTTTGTGTGTGTGTGATCACCAGTATTTAATATATATCGATAGTGGAATTTCATATCTCACAATTATTCTTATTGAAGTAGGACCTGGAGAGCTATATTCCTGGGAACTTAAACTTTCCGCACACATGCTGAGCCTTCACGACGGGCCCTGTCAGTCCCTGGGAATGAGCCGATAAAACCAGGATGCAGCTCTGCCCTGGAGAAGCTCCCTGGGAGGTGCTGCCTCTGAACCACTATATGCTGTATCGAAAACGTCTTACGTGTTTAGAAATTGCATATAGGTGATCTGCTTTGGGGAAGAAAAGAGAAAGAGATAAGTAGGATCAGTGAGACCAGTTGCCTTTTCTGGCTGTACCTCCAGGGAAGCTGCCTCTTAAGGGCTAGTTTTACATGGAAAAATTAGATTTGATTATTTCACCTAAAGCAAAGTACCCATTAGTCCTAAAGCACCTTAGTCATCGTCAGAGCTGGATAAGATCTTAGAGCTCCTTTAGCTCAACCCTTGCATTTTAGGAGAAAACTGCAGATATTTTGTTTGCTTCTGTGGTTTTTAAAAACGTTTTAATGGTTGTCAACATTTAAAAATTGGGAGATTTGACATAAAAAAATCCAGACTTCA